ATCTTCTGTACCATGTTTGCTTTCCAGGCATTAGTCATGAAACTGCTGATGAAAAGGTGGTTTTTGGCATTGAATTTAATTCAACTTTTCTGGAATGTATTCCTAAGTCCCAGCAAGCCTCTATTAGGTGGTATATTCAACGCTCTGGAGAAGAACATCGAGAAGAGGTAAGTTATAGTCATCAAGGCAAGTTTCCTCTATGGAGAATTCAGCCTAGTATTCAAGGGCAGGAGTTATTGGGATTAGTAGATGTTTTTACTTTTCCTTGCCTCAACTTAGGTATCACATAGCATTCTGGTATCACCATTTGCGCCATGGAGAGGGGAAGAGAGAGGCCATTTACAGTCTGCCACAGGCAGATTTATTTTATTTATTTATTTTGATTTATATACTTATTCCATTAAAGAGGAGTGCTCTAAAACTACTCCTGGGGAGACTTTTTTTTTTTTACGCCAGACTTCTCTGGTAACACCTTTTTGCTCAAAACTTAACTCTTGGAACAGCTCAACAGCAAAAACCATATTGAGAATCTTCTGGGTTTATATTTTTTCCCTGATCTTCTGTTCACCATAGAATCGGAGGCATCTGAGGACCTTCCAGCAGCATGTTAAACATTTTGACTTACCAAATGTCATTGATTCTAGGACAAGGTTCTCCTTCCATTTAATTTGGGGGGAAGCCCCCCATCTTAGAATTGCCAATGGGGATGAAGGGGGAGGGAGAGGGCAGGCTCCAGCCCCTACCCAGGGTCAAGGTCGGGGCCAGAGCTGCTGCCTTGCCTTTCTGCACTTCCATCTCCTCTCTTTGGCCTCTTCTCCACATCTTCCCCTTCCCCTTACCTTTGCTTCATGCCGGCAGGCTCCGTGTATGCTGTAGCCTGGGGCAATGAGCCCAGCCTGTAGCGGTGGCATGCAGTGCATGGCTGCTACAGGGGCTGGGCTGGGGCTGTGTTCAGTGCCCCAGGCTAGAACAGGGGTGGGACCTCTGGCATTGAGAAAAGACGTAATGGTGGGGAAGTGGGGCAGAGGCTAGGGGAGGGAAAGGCAAGCAGAGGCATGGGGGAGAGGCAGGAAGAGGAGCAGAGGGGGAAGGGGGGACCTGAGCCTGCAGGGGGGCAGACAGGGAGCAGAAATGGCAGGGGGCTAGGCCCAAGCAGGGCTCAAGCTACTTGACTTCCCCACACCACCTGCTGCCCCCATTCCCTGCCCCACTGCAGCAGTGGGGGGGGGGGCACGTGGATTAAAGATGGCCCCATGATAATTAGATTCTATACATGGAAAATTGGAACACATTTATAAATTTTCCAAGCATAGAATCTAATTATTGGGGGGTTGTCTTATATTCAGGGTCATCTTAAATTTGAGTAAATAAGGTACCTCCAGCATTCACGGGTTGTTCTTTCTCTCTACCTCTCACCAGGGAAGAGAAATTGCATGTGGGGAATTGCATGTGATAGTGGAAGGATTTTGCATTGAAACTGGGGGTGGGGGGGAAGAGTTTCGTATGGCCATGCTGCTCTGTGTGTATTAGAGAAGGCAGGTCAAAGCAGTGCAAGTTGTGGTTAGTGTGATGGTGATGAGGTTCACAGTGGTGTGTAGCTCCTGTGGGAGTACGGTCCCCGGTCTGAAAAGCTCATGTTTCTACCTTCAGTTCTTTAAGTTGAGAGGACTCAAAACGAGTCCTCTCACAGCAAATAAAAAGAAGGAAAGGGGTGTGTTGTGTGCACGTGCGTGCATACCTTTTGCCCTGAAAGTCAACAGGTTGGGTTCATTCAGACACCAGGAGTCTTCACAGCTTTTCTCTTTAAAAGTCATTTCCCTTTTCCAGCCTTTATATCCAGCCTCTGTAGCAATCAGAATTGCAGTGGCAGGGAAAGGGAAGGGAAAAGGATCAGCTCATCTGATCATTAAAGATCATTACAGGAGCCAGAAAACCTGTCTTTCTATGCAAGTGGTTCAGGATGTAGCCTGGCATGGGGTACTTTTGTTGGACCCACCTCTGTTTATTCCAGTATTATTTTAGTGCAGTGGAGTTCACCACTGAGAATGAATGTTTAATTTGAGTAATTCTAGATCTAGCACTTCTCTCTCCTCAGGCTTCATGCCATAGACAACTGCCTGCTGGTTTAAAACACCATCTTTGATATCCCTCATTATCAAATACTTGAAAATGATTGTGGTATTCTGGTCTGCAAGCTTGCTGAAATCTCTGGAGAATGATCCCAAAGTGCCCATGTTGAATGGTCTGTGGTTTATACAGAGCGTTGAAGATCTGTGTGCATCACCACAGCACACTTGGTAATTCTTGCCCTACTTGTTCAGCTCTCCGATACCACAGACTGGATGCTTTACAGGGAGCACTTCAGGAACATGCTTCAATATATGCTAGTCGCCTCAGTACATGCAAACTGTTAAGCAGATACTTAGCTTTAACCATGTGCTTAAGTACTATCGTTTCAAAGGGATTTAAGCAGATGATTAAGTTTTTCTATATTGAAAATTTAAGTGGAGGCGAATGTGAGCCAGAATTGTTATTTAAAAAAAAAAAAAAAAACCTTTCACAACTATACCCCTAACCAACGTTCTTAAAGGAAATACAATATTTGGCACATCTGGCCATTTCTTATTTATTTCTTTATTTATGGGATCTCTAGATGCCCATGTTCAATAGCAGCCCTGGGTAACAACTTGGCGGGAGTGAGGGGAAGAAAAGTAACAGCTGCTGTTCCTGCCAGCTGGCCACATTGCCAGCACTGGCTCCCAGAAGCTGCTGCTTCTTCAGGCACCAACCTGCCCTGTTACGCCTTCACCCACATTTGAAAAGTTGCCTTCAACCTTGTTAACTACTATTATATATACATACATACAGATAGACCAGAGGATTATAGGAAAGTAGGCTGGAAGGGACCTCATGTAGTCCAGGCCCCTGCTGATGACAGGAGCATCCCTGAGTAAATCATCCTATGTTTAATATGTTTTGGACAACTTCCAAGGATGGAGATTCCAGTTTGTCTAGGTAGCCCATTCCAATGTTTGACCACCCTCATAGTCAGAAGGTTCCTCCTAATCTCCAACCTAATGCAATATATATCATGTACATATATTTATCATATATTTTATGTAGTATTATACAAAACAGAGGCCTCTATAGAAAACCCAAATATCAAAATGAGGTTTGTTTCAACATCCTTTAGTTTGACCAAAATACCACATACAAGAGAAATTGAGTAGTCATATTTAACAAGTAGTTTGATCTTTGCTTAGCTAATCCCTTACCGCAATTTTTTTTCCATTACAATTATACATTTTTCTCTCCTTCCTGCATCAGATTCCTCAGATAACACTAACCATTATTTTAGTCCATGCCTTAAAGGTATAACTTATTGTGATGACGATACCAGGCTTTGCAAATGACTCAGTGCACCTGGAACTTAAGTTATGGACTTTTAGTTCCAGTGCTGTAGCGGTTATGTTTCAGCAGATCCTCCTTGTACAAATAGAGGGTTACGCATTGTCCGTGACATGCAATACAGTTTCCTGAGGGGAGGGAAAGGGCAAAATCCAGACTAGATGGGAAGCATTAGGCCCAGCAGGATGTCTCCTGCATTTCACCTTTAAGGTCATGGTTCGGAGTCCTACTTCCAGTCAGAACAGCCTGTGGGAGGGGGACAGGATCTCCTGGGGGAGAGGAGCTGTCACCAGGTCATTCTGCTGGTACTGGGAATATGTTTCCCTGCAGTACGGAGCTGTTTTAAGGTCATAAGTCAGTTATCTAGTGCTTTTGTATTTTGTCTTGCTCACGTAATTGAGCATGTTTATTCCCGTATTTGGAAGCTAGTCACCTACTTGTGGGAGAGCTTTTCTATGAATTGAATTAATAAAGAAAAAAGCATGTACGTCATTTGTCCATAAAGCTTAATGCGCTGACGTTTCCTGCAGCTTTGGCTCAGATGTTTATTTCTTTTTAAATTCCAGTGTGTTATGTTATGTACATAATAAGTGTCAGGACCGGAAAAAGCACACCCAGGGTTCCCTACAAAGCCATTAGCATTGGCTCCCTATGACTTTTAGAAATATTAGACCTCCTGCTTCAGGCTGGCCCTGACCCACAGTCTCCTTTGACCATTGGTTTGCCGATCTGTCATGTGCCCTTCCAGGGAACGTAGCAAGCCATATGTTCTGAAATGACAGAGTATACATTGATCGTGCTTTAACTCTTCCTTTTCTTCTTCCATGAACATGGTGTTAGGAATGAAAGTGAACTTTCTTAATAGCTAGGGCACATTACAGAGTCTTCATCAGGGTAAGGTGCTGAACCCTGCTGGAATACCCAATATTTAACCAGTCACCATGTCAGGGATAAGCAGGCGCTTTTTCCCCATGGTCCATTTGGTCAGAATTGAAGGAGTGGACTTTATATAATACAGTGACGTCACTGACATTTTTGGTAGTGGGTTAGTGAGTAAGGCATAGGTTTCCATTGGTTTTCTGGACTGATACTTTTTTGTGTAGAAAGAACCTATTTTCTTTGGTTGCAAGTTTTTAGACAAGACCTTTTTGTGGGGATGACTGAAGGAATAACCTAAGAGTCAAATGAGAGCAGAGTGAGAAAGAAATATAATTTAAGCAGGACATTTTGGTGATGATCACGAGCTAGATCCACAAGGCGTACTCAGGCAGCTAACTGCCATTTTATACATCTACATTTAAAATTAAAATCCTCAAAATCTCTGCCTAACCCTGAAAACATGTAATTTTTCTCAGTGTTGCAACTTCCAACGGTGAAGTTCTTGAGCTGCCTAAATTTTTGCCACTAGGCAAAAACACCTAAGCCTTGGGATAAGGGAGAGGGAAGAAAGGTAGAGATTGGCTCTGTATCCCACTAATTAGGGGAGTTCCCTGGGATGTGCACTTGTTTCCAATCTCAATAAATTACTATTTATGGGAAGTGTAACAGTTTCAAAAGGAACAACTGAGAGAGCTTACCCTAAAATATCCAACAGCCTGAGGGTAGGACACTCCCTTGAAAAGTACAAGATGCAGATTCAAGCCCTCCAAGCCCAAGCAGGTATTTAAACTGGGTTTCCCACATCCCAAGTGAGGACTCTAGCTCCTAAGGCATATTCTTGACACTTTTTTTGCTTGGCTTAAGCACCTAACTCTGGGAG